TGGGGAAGTCAGGAATAGAATCCAAATCTCTGGACTCTCCATTCTGAGCTTTAACCATACAACTTTAATCCAAATGTAATGGAGGACATGGAAGTCATTCAGGTATCTGAGAGTTCAGAGAACCTGGGGAGCCATTTGTTTTAGCTGAAGTAATGATGTGAGCATGTAACTTTGTATGTGCCAAAGCCTTTACTTGAAATCTGCAGTGCAAAGACTTGTGCACATAAAGCAGAGGGATCTGATCGTATTTCAGGATAAGAGGTTATTTAATGAGTAAGATTCAGGTGCCAATGTGCATGATTATAGTGAAAACTTGACAAAAAATGAACAGAGGTAGTGAGGCAAATAGTTCAATACAGAAAGAAAGATTGTGAATGGATCTCATAGACACAAGACCTCTACCATCAGGAATCCAGCATCACCACCCTCCTAACAGAGGTCAGACAATCAAGCCATCACTTCAGTGATGAGCTGCCTTAATCTACCAGGGAGACCTAACACTGTGGTTAGAGTCCTGTCATCAGCAAGATAATGATGAATATGGGGTCACCTTTCTAGGAGTGGCAGGTCAGTATCCAGACAGTGAATGATCAGAACTCCCTAAGTATCAGTTAAAGTGGCAGAACTTTTACTCCTGTGATCAGAAGAACTTTATTTCCAGAATGTGTAAATGGCAACATGAAGAGGCAGCATGAGATTATTCTCTGCCAGATTGGAGTCAGACTCTCTCATGTTCAGCCACTCTTCAACAAACAGAATCTTAAAATTGATGTTTCTTACAGACTTATTGTTTTTGGCCAGTGGCCCATGAAGAACCTGCTGAAACATTTTAATTAAGAGAGCTGAGCAGCCTACATGAAGAATTATTGAATGTTCTGTTTTAGCTCTTACTCAATTCCTCTATCGAGCTTCAAAAACAAGGTCTCTGATTCAGCTTGATTAAATAGAGTCCAGAATGTAACCTAGTGCAGGCTGTCTTATGTTTCACAAAGTAATAAGAGATATAAGGCCATGATTGCTGCAGAGTGATCAAGACAAAAGAAAAACTGTTTCTCTTTCCAAGGTTACCAAGATAAAATCAAGTGTATTTTGTGCAATATAGAGATCATGTGATTCCATGGATTTACACCAGGGATGAATCTGTCTCTCTGTTTCACGGGCTCTGCTGTGTTATATTCAGGTTTTTATACCATGCTTATCACTATGGGATCTGAGTGGTTTCTATTTCCTCCTAAATGTATGTAAATTCAGGTGACTTGGCAGTCACTAAACAAAAATCATATTGCCCAAAGTCATTAAACTTCCCATGTGGGTTTTTCAACAATTAGAAACAACGCACACAGGAGAATGTTAGAAACACAGCTGGGCCATTCTTTCACCATTATTGCAACTTGCAGATTGAAAGGGAACAGCGATCTTGCTGTGTTGGAAATCAGCTCTTTAACTGAGTGATCACTAAAGAGTGTAGTATTTTTATAGACTGAGCTCCAATTCTGCAACTGTATCAGAGCAGGTGGAGTCCTGTGATCATGCAGAACCCCAACGATTACAGGAGTAGGTGGGTGAGATTGTGTGGCCTGCAAAGTGCAGGAGGTCAGACTAGATGATGGTCCCTTCCGACCTTAAAATCTATGAGGGCAGCCAGCTAGGGTTCTGACATGGTGTAAATGGTATTTTTGCTCCTGGCTGCAATTCTAGTCCTAGACCAGAGAGAGAGAGAGTTTCCACATTCTTCTTTTCAAACATGTCAGTGTGGTTGCAATGTTTAAGGGGGGTGGGGGGATTCCTACACTGCTTCAGTGGGCATCCCTGCCTGGGTGACCATCTCCACCTCAGCCCTCCAGGGCCCAGTTGCTGGGCAACTTCAGTTTGCTCCCGACAATACTGCCATCAGAATTCTGAAGGGAAACTGACCTCCTGTTCTTGCCAGTGAATGAGGGGGATCATGAGGGTCAGCCAGGAGATGCCATGAATGAGAGGGAAATGGGGGGATTGAATTTCACCAAATTGCAATATTTCTCAGTGCCCCTGGATAACGGCTTCCAGGGGGACTGTCCAGACTTGATCTTCAGACCTGAAGACAGAGGGGAGCCTTCAATACTTTCTATTAGGTCCAGAGTGGTCTTGTGTCGCAAAGTAATCTGCAAAGCCCTGGCTACCCCTGTATCTATGAAATTGTTGGCTGCTCCCGAATTCATGAGGGCTTGTTGGATGGACATCCGTTAGGGCTCTCCGAGGATGTGTAGCTGGATGAACACGTGCAAGTGGGAAGCCCCTGGATGGAGCTTGGTGAGTGTTCCAGTCAGGACTGAGGTGCAGGGAAATTCTTATCTCACAGAGCCTAGGCTGGTTCTCCTCACTGAACCTAAGCCGACTCGTTTCCCAGATTCCTTGGAGCTCAGATGGGACAGGCAGAAATGGTGTGGCCAGGTTCGCGACAACAGAAGCATATGTGGTGGCGTTGGCATGGTTCCTTTTCTTCAGGTGGACAACAAGCCAGATCCACCTGCATCAGTTCAGTGGGTGAAACAGGTACTGAGGTAATGGTAAGTGGATTGGGAAGTGTGGGGGCTGCACAGACCCTCCCTTTTCCTCTCTTCATTCCCATAACTGGTTATTTATGCAGAGGATGAGGTTGATAAAGGCATCCAGACTTGTGGGCATCTCCACGTGGGTCACTTCATCTTTGATCTCCTCCCTAGAACCCACCAGAATTGGTACCGTTCCACCGCCTCATACCACTCTGCGTCTGCAATGAGATGGCAGAAGTGTGCCGCATAGGAAGCCATGGTACCCTTTCCCTGTGGAGTTTCTTTAGAGTGGCCTCAGCCAAACGGCCACGATGCAGGTCATCGAAGATTGCTGATATTGATTGGAGGAAGGTGTTCCAATTTGACAGGACTGGGCTGTTACTCTCCAGCAAGGGGGAGGTCCAGTCCAGAGCCTCCCCCTTCAGCAGACTGATTACGACAGAGACATAGGTCTGGGGACACAACAGGAACAGAAGATGGCATTGATTCATGAAGCCCCAGAACGGCTGGCGACTCCCATTGAATTGTTCTGGTAGAGGCATTGTGAACCGCTGTTCAAGGCAGGGCACTGTGGTCTGTGTCCGAAGCAAAGTGTTTTCCATGTGAAGCTGGCTTACTTGATCCCGCAGCAGCCCACTCTCTGAGTCAGTTGCAGAACTTGGGCCTGCAGTGCTTGGTTCTCTGCCTGGAGGCAGGCAGCCCAGTGCCTCTGGAGGCAGCAGCTGGGTTGCTAGTTCCATACTTCTTGCACTGGGCCCACCCCCTTTGGCATAGGTGCAGGAACCAGGGGTGTGGGGGGTGCTGCAGCACCTCCAGGTTTTATGGGGGCTCTGCTGCTGGCCCCACTCCCAGGGTCCCAGCTGCTGGCCCATGTCCGGGGCTCTGGCTGCTGACCCGGCTGCCGCTCCCCACCGGGGTCCCTGCTGCCACCTCGCACCTGAGGTTCTGTTGCCGGCCTCACACCCAGGTTCCGGCTGCCACTCCCGCCCTGGGGTTCCGGCTGCCTCCCTGTGCCTGAGGTTCCACTGTCAGCCCTGCACCCAGGGTCCTGGCTGCCAGCCCCGTGCCTGCCCCCAGCCTCGGCTCCCTTAGCCCTGTCCAGGTCCCCGCTGCCCAGGGAAACACGGCCTTGCTCCCGGCCCCAGCTCGGGGGGAGGAGGGGAGCACGGACAGGGGTAAGGGGGGGGCTGGCTTCCAGCATCCCCACTATTAAAAATGCTCCAGTGCCACTGCCCTTGGGGATGACTGTATGGTCTGTACAAACCGTTGGGGCTGGGATGTAGGCAGCTGGGCCTAGTTTTACCATAAGGTGGATGGGTTGGATCCTTGCACCAGCCAGAGTTCAGAACCAGAAGGTCAGAAACTGAGAGTCAGATACCAAGAGTCAGGCCCAGTCAAGAAACCAGGAGGTCAAGGTCAGGTAGGAAAAGCCAGTCTCATTTGACCACACACACAAAACTGTATGTCAGCACAGATACAGAGAACACCTACTTCTGGCTACTGAAAACCTTAAAGTTCAGATCCTTCCTAGGTAGAAACACTAGGCCAAAGGTATCCCTGGCACAGGTGCCATTATTTCAACGTAATTATTTAAAAGGAATTACACTAAAGATGAATGTTACACTGTAACCTGTTATAGTATCACAGTATTGGAACAGCTACTGCCATTTTGCATGCTCCTCTGAAATATGATGTTTGCCTTTTAAATAAAGTTTCTTAAAAAGGTATCCTGCAAAGATATTTTCCAGTATTTGTTTAATTATTCTTTTTAAACTATGCTGGTAAAGGAGGGGGGGGGGGGGAATGTAATCTGACCAGCAGTGCAACACAGCATCTTGGTACATTAACGTCTTAGACTGGACAAAGCATCAGAGCATATCAAAGGGAAACAATCTGAGGACTGGACTACAGATAGGGTTTTTCCATCTCTATGACATTTCTATGAGTCTATAACTCAGTGTGGTCGGACAAGAGGTTTATTTGAGACTTCAGAATAAATGCAGCTCATCCATTTTACTTACTAATACTTCTCTTGGAAGGAATTTGTGAAATGTGATCCTTTATCATTAAAAACAAAATGATACCTATATTAAAGTGTCTCAGTTTCATATGTGATTGAAAAAAGAAATGGATTAGAAGGATATCATTCAAATGCTTCCAGTTCAACAGCAGGCACTGTGTTCAAGACAGCTCACCCTTTGAAGGAATACAATTATAGAGCTTAATCCCACAACCCAAGTTGACCACAGAAATAAATAAATGGCAGGATCAGGACACAATAGATGAAAAGGACCAAAGAAAGAGAAGCATTAACTTCAGAAAACTCTAGCTAACGTCCTCAAAATCTTTCACCTACTATACACAGTCACCAGAGAACAAAGAGCATTCTCTTATATTACCACCATTTTCACTTACGCTTCTTTAATATACCTCGGAATAACTGATGGTAATTATGATCCAACCACTTACCAACATATCCTGGGGTTCCACACGCTGTGGACATGACGTCTCCTTTATCCTCCATCTTTGACAATCCGAAGTCACTGATCATGATTTTGGATTCTTCATCCTGGCTGTAGTACAGCAGGTTCTCAGGCTAGGAAGAAGTTTGAGACAAATCTATGAGTCTAGTGAAGAACAAGGTGACACTTTACATTTATTATATTCAATTTCTGAAGCGAAGGGGGGGGGATTCCCCAGAACCCTCAACCAATTCCCCATAATAATCATTCTTCAAAGGCAGTACCAGCCAACCTATTCTCGTGACTGAGAAGGATTCTATGGGGAACCAATCAGTGCCACTGTTAAGGCAACTAGCCAGAGGCCCTCCTCTTCAGATGTTGCATGTACCATCTCTGAAGCCATTCCTTTTCTTTGACACCCTGACCAGAGACATAAGGGGATTGCCCTATATACAAACAAGGACAGTCTCTTCACTCTATGGTGATAAAACAGAAGAGTTCGCTTATATGCAAGTATAAAGGGTAAGAACTATGTAGAACATTCAACACATTTTACATAGATGCAGTAGGGGGTTAAACTGTAGTTTAAAAAAATCCCATTAGTGTTAGAGAATTTTTATATATATCCTGTAGGAAATAAACTATGATAAAAGAGTAAATGCCATTAAAGTTAATAGAGTTACACCAACATTGATTTGGCTCCAGTTAACTAGAAAAAATATTGCACTACTGAGAATAATGAACTAGGAGCCGAGTAGAAATCAGGAGTCTCTTCACTGAGCTCCACGGAGTTGTGCTGATGTTAATCTGGTTTGAGATCAGAATCATGCCCCAGACACCAATGTGCTACATTGTTGCTAATCCAAAATGTCCAATACATCTGCTTTTAATAATTCGTTATGTTATTAACAAACAATACAGGTCTTACTAAATACAGTGCACTTCTGGGAAGTGTAATTTGAGGTTTTACCGCCCAGGGTGATTCCATTGCTAAGGGTTTGAGCCTGCAAGGTGCTTAGGGTCCTCTGCGAACTCCCAGTGAAGCTGTGGAAGCAGTGGACAATCCACACCTTGTTGGGCCAGGCCTTAAACTTGTTACATTTTTACAGCACGAGATGACCAGCTTTGTGACATAGTATTGGAACAGTTTCTGCCAAGGAACTGGTACAAATACCTACCACAATTTAACACATTTCTTCTATAAACCCAATATGCGCTCCAGATGTGGATTCCCAGGAAATAATATATGATACAGATGGGGCAATTCAACATCATTACATTCACTGGGCCAAACCCAGCCTTGGTATATAAGGGGGCAACTCCGCTGAAGTCAATAGCAATGGGCTCGGGCTGAATTTGGCATTTTATCTTATAGCAGAAGTCAGGAAGTCAGATACATTTTTATGTTTCACTCAGATGCTTATGAACTCTTAAAGTATTTCAACAACACTCACACCGAGCCAAGAACCCAAGGATACCAGAGGAGAAGAGATTGAATTAAATGTTTAGGACCTGATCCTTTGTACCTGCTTTTCAGTGCTCAGTGTGGCATGGTGACTTGGCAGAGAAGGAGATAATTGCAAAGGGGGCCATAGGGCCCTGAGATGCAACTACTTACAGCAGCCCCGAGGTTGCTTTAAGTTGTATGGACCAATAGCCCACAGGGCAGTCAGGATCACTGGGGCATAAGGATACTCCGGCCATGTTCTCTCTTCCCTGAATATTTCCCTTGAACTGGGAAGAGGAGCAGCGAAGGAGCCGTTACACCATCTCTATACCATCCAGATATTTCCCTTACATATGGAGTATCGTCATGGGGTAATTAAGCCAGCTTTCTGGCTGCTGTGGACCATCAGAGCAGCACCAAGCCGCGTTGCTGGGCCTTAATTTGCAGGACTGAAACATAGCAGACAATGATGTTATCCACTTGTCCTCACATGCGCGTGTACACACAAGTGGAAACAAACGTATGACCTTGCCCAGTGTCTTCTAAAGGGGCTGAGATCAAAAAGAAAAAGGGTTTCTGAAAAACAAAACAAAATTGGCTGTGCTGTGTGTACTGCTTTTCTAAATGTTCTCATGGTACCTCATGAGTCCCTCGTCTTCAATGCCCTGCATAGCTCTATCTCTGCCTTACCCTTGGACCTTCTTCTGACATCACACAGGGATGTTAAGGGTACAGCCCCTGGGCTGGATCCGTTCCATGGTACAGTTTCATCAGGACCACGGACTTTCCATGACTCTGTGGGCTTTGTCTATATGACCCCGGAGGCCACACTATGAAGGTGTGATTCATAGAGTGCATCAGTGTGTCACCACTCTAACTCCCCATGTGTACCTTGCTAGTGTGCATTGGTGTAGTCCTGTTTCAAACAGGACTAGATCTAGGCACACTAAGGAACATTTAGTGTGAGCCAGCAAGTTCCACATGGGGGAATTAGAGCACAACACACTGGTGTACTCTGTAAATCACACTGTAAATCAGACTCTGGCGCAGCAATCCAGCAGTACCTCGCACACAGGTGTAGAACCGCACGGTTGCGTTTAAGAAGCACTGGGGAAGCATAAATCTGGTGGAAGCTGATACGTGTCCGGGCAAGAGGAAATGGCACTGAAGAGCGCCTACCCATTGGCTGGAGATTAGATACCTCACCTAGCAAGTCAAAGAAAAGGAAACTTCAAATAAGTCAAAGGTTGAATGCCTCCTGCAGCTGGTGGACTCCCTTTTAAATAAAAAATGAAAAAAGAGAAGAAAAGAAAAAGGGGTGAGAGGATACCCTTCTTCTATTCTTCCCTTCCTTCATTTCTTTATTCAGCTTGTAACACATGGCCATGTCTTTATCCATAAAGAGAAAAGTAGATAATTTCTCTTGAAAGGCAGGACATTCGTGGAGAATTTAATATTTCTTTATGGACATGAATGGACAGCACACGTGCTTGATATGTAAGCAACAGGTACAGGAGCGGCGCCAGGGTTTTTCCCGCCCTAGGCAGCAGCGCTCCTCCTCTGAGCATTCAGGAGGCCTGGGGTCTTCGGCGGCGGGGGTCCTTCCACTCCGCGTCTTCAGGACACTTCGGCGGCGGGTCCTGGAGCGAGTGAAGGACCCACCGCCGAATTTCCGCTGAAGACCCGGAGCGGAAGGACCCCCTGCCAACGAATTTCCGCCGAGGACGGCAAAATGCCGCCCCCCAAATCCTGCCGCCCTAGGCGACTGCCTAGGATCGCCTAGTGGAAGCGCCGGCCCTGAACAGGTAGCTATGGTAAAAGAATACAACATTCAAAGACACTATGAAGCAAACCAGGATGAGAAGTATGATAAATAAACAAGAAAATTATGTGAAGATAAATACTCCAAATTAGCACAGTTGTTAAAAATGCAGCCATTAATGTTTACTAATGCTTATCATGCAAGTAATTCTGCTGTTAAGGCAAGCTATGTGATTGCCCATGAAATAGCTGTTTCATCAAAACCATTTTCCAAGGGAGAATTTTTGAGGAACTTCATGCTACAAGCTTCAGAAGTACTGTGTCCAGATAAGTGGGAAGCTTTTGCAAATATCAGCCTCTCAGGAAACAAATTTGCTGAGAGAATCGAGTTAGCTGAGAATCTGAACAGTCAACTCAGGACAAAGCAAAGTACTTTGCTGATTTTTCAACGTCAATTGATGAAAGCACAGATGTAAATGACGCATCTCAACTAGCAGTGTTAATTCATGGAGAACGTGTGTGTAGCAGAGGAGCTTGTAGAATTGTAGACACAATAACAGCAAATTATCTCTTTATCAACTTGGTGGAAGCTCTCAACAAATTGGATGTGGACCAGACAAGAGCTCTGAGTCTGGCCGCAAACAAGGCATCCTCAATAGTAGGTAAGAAAGCTGGAGTTGTAACAAAATTGAAGACCTAATTGCAAACTATCAACCACAACCAACAGTTTAGCAGTTTTCATTGTATTTTACATTAAGGAGCTTTCTGTAGTAAAATTTTGGAAATGAATCACGTGATGAATGTGGCTGTTAAAAATGTAAATTTTATTAGAGCTAGAGGTCTCTAATCAGTTCAGCCTGCTGTTGGAAGAATGTGACATTCATTGTGGACTGCCATATCAAACTGTAGTTCAGTGGCTAAATTGGGGAGTTGTATTGAAGCACCTCAAGAACATAAGAACGGCCACACTGGGTCAGACCAAAGGTCCATCTAGCCCAATATCCTGTCTTGCGACAGTGACCAATGCCAGGTGCCCCAGAGGGAATGAACAGAAGAGTTATGGCATCAAGTGATCCATCCCCTATCACCCAGTCCCAGCTTCTGGCAAACAGAGGCTAGGGACACTATCCCTGCCCATCCTGGCTAATAGCCATTGATGGACCTATCCTCCATGAACTTATCTCGTTCTTTTTTGAAACCTGTTATAGTCTTGGCCTTCACAACATCCTCTGGCAAAGAGTTCTACAGGTTGACTGTGCGTTGTGTGAAGAAATACTTCCTTTTGTTTGTATTAAACCTGCTGCCTATTAATTTCATTTGGTGACCACTAGTTCTTGTGTTATGAGAAGGAATAAACAACAACACTCCCTTATTTACTTTCTCCACACCAGTCATTATTTTATAGACCTCTACCATATCCCCGCTTAGTCATCTCTTTTCTAAGCTGAAAAGTCCCAGTCTTATTAATCTCTCCTCATATGGAAGTTGTTCCATGCCCCTAGTAATTTTTTTGCCCTTTTTTGAATTGCGTTGTGAGATCCACCTTTTCATGGATCAGAAAGAAAAAGCTGTCACTGAATTACAGGACAATGAATGGCTTCAAGACCTTGCTTTCATGGTGGATATTACAGAGCACTCGAACTCGCTCAACACAAGAATGCAGGAGGGCAACCAAGTAGCGATAGAATCCTATGACAACATTCACGCCTTTGAAACTGAGCTTCAGCTGTGGGAGAAGGAACTTTCCCAGAGTAACTTGGCATACTTACCTGCCTTGAAATCACTATGTGACACTGTTAGGACTCAGTGTGATGACACCATGGGCAAAACTGCTGAACTGAGAAAGGAATTTCAAGAATGATTCTCTGACTTCAGGAACCATGAGGAAGAGTTTGCAATTTTCAGCACAACCTTTTCTGTTAATGT